CCAGTCTCATATGATTATGTTGATTCTACTTAGTCATTCATCATTTTAATTTTATAGTAATTTTTAGCATCTATGATAAAATTAGCATTTTAACTTTATGGAAAATTTAGCCTTAACTTTATGGAAATTTAATGTAACAAACAATTTTTAAATCTAATCCTTGTAACATCTTGAATTTAAGGCAGAGACACACACTGTCTTGTAAGTAGTTTCCAATAAAAGAAGCATTTTCTGATCTTGTATTTTCAAGCAACAAACCCTTATGAATTCACTTCAGTGCTACAAAGCATGCATCTTTGACTTGAACCATCATTAATGTATTAAATTTACACTGATCCCACATCATCTAGGACTGTCTTTCACATGGTAGAAATTATCAAGTCATGGGGATAGCAATGGAATGTTACTTGCCAGATCTTGAAAACATTGTCCTTTCTTTGAAAAAGTAATTTAGACTAAGAGTTGAAAGCAGTTTTTAAAACTAAATAGGATTGTGTTGTTTCGAAAGCTCTACCCAGTCTTAAATTGCCAAGCTTCAGATGTGGTCGTGTTTACTTCCTTTCACGATGTCCCTTACTTACACGCTTCTCTATGGATCCAGACCAGGCATGCGCCAAAAAAATTAAAAGAGCCCCTCCCTCAGGAATCAAGTGGCTTGTCCCTGGAAAAATCTAACCTTCCATTTTGTCGATGACCATTTCCTTCTCTCTCTGGCACACTGGCAGTGGATTGAAATGGACACCTTTAGAGAAAACTGACTGAACCCTTTATAGCAGTGACACACCCTTCTGGGGGCTGATTGAAGGAAAGGCATGGCCTCCTGCATTTGTATTTTTAAAGACATCAGAGTGCCTATCCTTGATAAAAATGACCAGAGCAAAGTATATTCCTGTGACACGCTCCACTCCAGTGTTTTCAGAAGATTCATCAAGTTTTTGACTTTGCTCTTCGTATAAAGCCACAAGCTCTGGAGCCAGCCAGACTAGGCTGTACGGCCCACTCCGCTGGTGTCCAGCAGAGGGCTGGTGGTGCTAGGGAGAGGGACAGCTGCAGTGGTCATGGTGGAGGTGGTGGTGGAACGAGTAGCAGCGAAGGTTCCAGTGTCGTGATCCTGGTGATAATAGGGACGAATATATGGAGAATTCTATTGTAAAGCTAAAAGTCAGCCACTGAGAGCATCCATACAGGAGGACTCGTCAAGGTTACAAGGCTCAGTAGCCCGATGGAAGTTGCTTTCTTACTCACCATTTCTAGCCTAGATTATAGTTTTATAGGGAATTTCACACACAAGACTATGAATGGCAGTGGGACGAAAGGTCTCACCAATGCAACCTGCTCTGTCCCTGGCTTCCACAGACACTCCAGCAGCGCCATTCACAAACCTGTCCTTTAGCCCTCCAGGCCTCGGTCTGGGCTCACATAATTCCCACCAGGCCTGCAAGCCAGAAAGGCGGGAGGGCTTGCCATCTCTGCGACAGGGCTAATTCTGACAAGTGCAATTTGCTTTGCAACTGGCTC